ACTTTTTCTCATTAATTTTAGATTTTTAGAAAAAAATTAGCAAGCACCCGTGTAATACACGGGGGTTGAACTAGTTCATTAATATTGACAAATTGAAAATATTTATTAAATGATATTTATAATTAAAAATTAGTGAATCAGTTATAATATAATTTACCTATGTTAATTTATCGAAAGTGTTATATGACATTTTAAGTTATGCAAAACTATATATAAAAAATGTCTATTTAAAATTAGTGTACAACTCGTATGGTGCACGTATGTGATAATAAATTAAATTATATTCATTTAAATATGAGTGTCGTTTTAAATTTTATTCTGAATTTCGATTTGACTCCAAGAGATGGAGTCGAATGCTTTACGAAGGTCTATTTTGATGATGCACCTAGGAGATACCCGTTTCCTCAAGTAAAGTCAGAGTAGTTGTTGCATTATGTGTATGTTGTCGGTGATGCTCCTCCCTTTCACGAAAGCGGCTTGAGCCTCGTTAATGATGGAGTCGGGGACTTCGCTAACTCGCTTAGCAAGGACTTTGGAACAAATCTTGTACACTGTGTTGCAACACGCAATAGGTTGAAAGTCCGTAACTCGCGAGGAGTGGGAGGACTTCAGAATAAGCGTGAGGGTCGTATGATTCAATTGCTTGAGGAGTGAACCGGAGCGGAAGAACTCTTGGATAGCCGCCACCATATCACCCCCAACAATGGACCAACTCTTCAAAAAGAAAGTAGAGGTGTAGCCATCCAAGCCCGGGGACTTACCATCCTCTATGTCTCCAAGTGTGTTCTTGATTTCTTCCTCTGTAACCGGGGCAATGAGGGCCCTACAATCGTCAATTCCGACACACGTTCCGGACCGAAGGATTTAGGGATCCACATCCTCCGTTTCAACTCCGGTTCCTAAGAGAGCCTTGTAATAATGGACAAACTATTTGGTAGCTTCCTCCATGGATTCGGTAACGGTGCCATTCTCCCGGTTGATTGAGGTGATAAAATTCCATTTTGCTCGCTTTTTTACGATGTCGTGGTAGAACTTAATGCATTTATCCCCCTTGATTTGAAAGTTGCATTTAACCTTTTATTGATAAAAGAGCTTCTCTGCTTTGGCCAATTTAAGAGCTTCAAGTCTAAGCGAAGGCATCTTGACCTTAGTTTTGGGGTCATCGGGTTGATCATGTAGCACTTGTTGTGCACTCTTGAGGGCGTTCTTCGCTTCTTTAGCCCGGGAGGAGATATGAGAGAAGGCCTCCTCATTTAGATCCTTAAGCAAGCTCTTAAGGTTCTTCAAATTATTTGCGAGGCAAAATTGCCTCGAGCCCCCGCCACCATGGTTCCAAGTGTTTTGAACACTTCGTAAAAACTTCTTGTGGGTCGTCCACATATTAAAGAACCGCCACAGTGACCCGATAGTTTTTCTCGCCTTAAAAATAGTAACTATGCATGGAGAGTGATCGGAAATACCCAGAGCTAGGAAGGTCGCATGTGAGATTAGATCGGCATTCTCCATTGAGTATCCACCATTGCTCTATCAAGATTCGACCAAACATGATTGTTAGTCCAAGTGTGGTAGAAACCGCTTGAGGGAATGTCCGACAATCCCAAGGCAGTACAAACTTCCACGAGGTCCATGGTGTCCCGGTTAGTGACCCTTTCCCCCTTAATTCTCTCTTCCGGTTTGAGAATAGCGTTGAAGTCCCCTAGAAGCAACCCAGGCAAGGTGATCCTCCCCTGATAGACCCTAAGCTCGTTCCACAACAACTTCCAGTCTCCTCTCGAGTGAAGTCCATATATAAAGCTCGCAATAAATGAGTGGTTTCTAACCTTACAACGAATCTTAGCAAAAATGACTTGAGGCAAGGCGACCTCCATCGTCATGTCAACCTTCATGGGGTTCCATAGGATGGCGATGCGCCCACGGTCAACAACATCAAAATTCTCGCAAAAAGCCCAACCCGACAACCTTCCATTCACAAAGAGAGATAGTCGCTGAGTGTCGGTTTTGTTTCCAAAAGTCCCAAAACGTCAATATTATTTCTCCGGATGAGGTTTACCACCTTATCTTGTTTTAGGGGCCCGTTAAAGCCCCTAATATTCCATGAGGCGATAATCATTGAGAGGAAGAGGGGTGGCCCCCCTTCTTCGTCGAATTCATCTTGCCTCCATCTCTCATCCCACTTGGTTTGTCTCTAAGCTTGGAGTTTTGACCCGTAGTTGCGACGGCTTGGTTCGCGGCTCCACTACCGGTGAGAACTTTGTTATACTTCCCTACCACTTGGAAGGAGTCATCTTCGTTATCCCGAGGAGGGTTCTCGTAGTTTTGTGGCTTCAAGTCCCCGGTTGGAGAAGAGGTAGAACCAACATCCGAGGTAATGGTCAACGCTTCTTTCCTTGTATCACAATTCCCGTTACCCTCTTTCGCTTGATCACCTTTGTTTTGATTTTCCTCTACGACCTCCACCTCTTTGGTTTTCGTTGGTGTTCTACCACTTTCTTGGTAGTCGCCAAGGTTTCGGCTTCACCGACCAGTTTCTTACCCTCGGC